ACTCAAACAAATCACTTTAATGCCAAATTTAAAGGCGTAACTAATTAATTTGGCATTATTTAGAGCTAAAAATTTGTAACTTGTGAAAAAAATCTGCAATTTTTCATTATATGCGCACTCTACAACAAATTTAAAAATAACTAATCAATAAAGATTGTGCATATCTATCTTGCTTGCTCCTATAAATTAGTCCACACTAGCGAAGCAGTCTTTGCTAAAAGCTGCCAAGGTTTGTAGCTCCTAACTCTTTTTCTCTGAGTGTAGTTCTAAGTGTTGAAAATTTTTTAAAAAAAGGATTTTTTTATATGTGATCAAGCCTCAACTTTTTTTAAAAAAGGATTTTTTTATATGTGATTTTGATGCTTGATTAGCAATAGTTTCTTGTATTTATGAATGCTTTTAAATAAAAATATGCTATGGAAGTGAATGGATTGAATTGTGTTGGTATACATGAGAGTATCTTGTCTAATTAATACTCTCTGCATGCTTTTTGTTGTAGGAAAGAGCATTTGGAGTGTTCATTGTGCCTAGAACCTCAGGCAAGTAAATTTGTGGTTATCTTTTCTTTCATATCTATCCAATTAATTAAGCATTCTTACAAATTTAGCTGCCAATGCAAAAGCCAGGTTCACATATGCAGAAGGATTTTTCATTTTATGCAGGATCGTAGGCTTCAATGTCATCAAATTCCTGACCTCCTCCAAAGTAGAGAAATAAATTTGCAAATGATATATATAATTGGTGATATATATTTGGCAACAGATGGAGTATTAGATGTCTAATCGGTAGACTTTATGATATGATCTATCGATTTGACTGTGTTTTCAAAATCCATACCACCTCCATCAGATCCCTAATATTCCATTCTCAAGTAAGTAATTAAGAGTGGTATTTGCTGCATGAAAAGCAAATTAGATAGAAAAGGGAGGATTTCCAAGAAATGCATACAATAGGTATCCATTTGATTCAATTATTTGGATATACCAAATGAATCACTTTTCTGTGTCCTTCTTCAAATATCACTTTAAAACAACCACAAGTTAGAGATTTCTATAGGTGGAGAGAACCATTGTTAACTTGCTACCAGCTTTTCTTAGCCTTAATTAGGTCATCGTTGTACTCCCCTTGTTATTAGTGCTTGGGGGATCAAGGGAGAAAAATGGGGATGGGGGTAGGGAGGGAATGGCTACAATTAAAGGAGTGCGGGAAAATTTTAGAAACCACACACTAAGAGAATTAAATGGACTGGAATGAAAATGTTGTTAATTTGTTGCCAATTTTTTTTTTTTTGTTAATTTTGCGTCGCCATCGTATTTTTTTTATTTTTATTTTTGGGGGATCAAGGTAGGAAAAAAGGGGATGGGATAGGGGGTGAAATGACTAAAATTAAGGGAGTTGCTAGAAAAATAGATAGAGAGCTGAGTGAAGGCATTAATCATCTATCCATCATGAAAGAGTTCCACAACCCAAAACTGTTTAAATTCTTCTTTTTTAGCTTTTGGCAGGTTGAAAGAAGAGGAAAAAAAAAAGAAAAAAGAAAAAGAGATATTCACCTCGACTAATTAAGGGAAAAAAATGAATGTATAACCAAATTAGGGAGATAAATTAGATTTTGAAGGATTACAAAAAGTTAGAAAGGAATAGTATTTTGGATATCCATTAAGACTTGAGCATATACAATAATTCAAAAGCTAGCCATCAATGCAACACTGAATATGGTTTTAATTGTTAATATTCAATTGATGCATACAAACTTTACCTGGTTCTCATTATCTTCTCTTTCAGCAAACCCCATTAATTGTTTCCTTTCAAAACCTCCTATAATCTTTCATAATCATAATCTACCATCTTATATCTTTTAATGTACTTTCAAATTGATTCTTGGTTTTGTGTCTTATTTGTGTTTTTAGCTCTCTAGCACAATTGAATATTACTTTTAAAGTTTTTGTTTATTTTCTTCTTTACCATTTCATATGCAATTCTTACTTTTTCTGCATTTTCAATATTCATTGATTGACAAACATGTCACTGTTCTAATTCTTACTTTATATATTTATTCTTAGCGATTTCTCCAGTTTTGTTCACACTTTTTAATCATTAAATTTCTATACTGATAATGATATGCTTGATTAACAGATAATTTGGCCAATTGGTGAAGCTTTGTTGATAATGGCAGAGTTGGTGATTACGCTGAATGTGGCTAAAAGAGAAGGAGATGAAAATGGTGAGGAATCCTTATACTTGTCTAGCCTGCAACAAAAGTTTCAGCAATGGACAGGCTTTTGGAGGCCACAAAAGGATACACTCTTGAAGAAAAAAGAAAAGAAGCCTATTGAGGTGATATTCTTGATTTCTCTCGAGAGAATCCATGGTATTATAAGTGCTCAACCTGTCGAAAAACTTTTCGTACTGAAAGCTCTTTCAAGAAGCACCAGAAAAGCTCTTTCAAGGAGCACCAGAAAACTCATCTTAAAAGAAAGAAACCAAAGGGTAATGTGGAACCTTCAATCACTGCAACCTATACCAGGCCCTTATCAACCACCTCCACTGACGTAATACTAGTGCAAGATGATCCAGTCAAATTGGAGAATGGTGAAGAGCACAGGCTTTCAGATGTGTCAAAATTCTTGACCCCTGGCTGGTCAAATACTGGTAAAAGATCCCTGGTTGCTGGAGGTCTTGCACAGATTTCACTCCTGAGGACGTGCATCAAGCTGCTAACGATCTCATTGTGCTATCTTATGGGGAAGCAAGAGCAGAAGATCTTCCTCTTAAGAAGAGGAAGATAGAGTTGCACCTTTTGAAGAAATGGATTATCAGCATGAGGAAACTGTTCTGGACCACATGCGCAAAGGAAAAGGTCAAGGATTTGTCGCCAATTCATCAGGGGATATAAGGGAAGTAATCTCAGGAGATTTTATTTGCCAAAAATGCAACAGGTCTTTCCCGACTTATCAAGCCTTAGGTGGTCACAACTCGCATCATAAGAGAGCTGTCAAGAAGGAATCCAGAGTCAGATTTCCGAAGTCTAATGGCTCATCATCAAGCAATCTTGCAGAACGTGCTAGTGCCAGGTGGCCACACAAGTGTTCGTTTTGCAACAAGTCCTTCAAAACGAGCCAGGCGCTCTCGGGCCATATAAGACATAAGGCTCCCGTTCCCCCTGCTGCTGTTCCCCTTGTTGAGGTTGCTGTGGAGGAAATTATCGAGGAAGCAATAGTTCAGGTACCTAAAAGGGCTCATCTCTTTGATCTCAATGAACTGCCTCCACCTGAAGATGGTGATGGAATAGATGACGAGGACATGGTACAGCCAGAAAACAGTACTCCTCGTCTTTCTTGGCATGAGGGAGTTGGTGATCCTGGAAGTTCCTCAACCCCATCCCGTGGAGGAGAACTGGAGAACAACGGGCCAACATCTAGAAGTTGCATGGTTCCAAAAGCAACTAAGGGTTTCGTAGTGGCTTAAACAACTATATATCAGTATTGCAGTTCTCTTTAGCTCTTTTTGCGTATCTTTGGTGTATGTAAAATATAATGTGTTAAACAGTTGGTGTTGGTCTTTTGGTTGTCTCAAATTGTTGTTGCAGACTTGCAGTTCTCTTAGCTCTTTTTGTGCACTCTTGGCACACAGTATGTGTTGTCTTAATTATGTAGTCAAGCAGAACAAAAGGTCAAACTGTGGTTTGTTTCATCGGATTTGGAGTTTTCTTAGCTTAACCCTTTTAACTGTATCCTCTTTTAAGCTCTTCTATTACTTCAATAAGGTTTTTGATGACAGAACTCAGAAGCTATTGATGGTGGCTGTCATGCAGCCAGTGATATAGCATAGTAGTAAGCACAGGCAGCTGATGGTGTTTGTTATACAGACCAAAGCATGTTCATATAAATTACCAAACATGAAATGATACGCTCTCTCATAAGGTACAATTTCTCTTAGGTGCTCGTTTTTTTTTCCCCCTCCTCAACTTTTCCTAAACAAGAAAAACAATCTATAGCAAAGAATATTGTACATATAAAACCTATTAATAAGTTCGAGTATAATCACTGAGAATTCCTTTGACACGTTAAATCCAAGTAAGTTGATGTAGCATAGATCCAAACATCATTCAGCTTTGCTCGTTTTCTTGATTTTTTGAAATCCAAACTAATATATATATATATATATATATATATAATCTTCTTGTAAGACTTTCATTTCATGGAATAGAGTTAGATGTTGATCTTTCTCCGTTGACATTTTCCGCAAAAATGAAGAGACAACAAGAATTCTTTTTGGTCTGGCTCAATCGCCTGAGCGTCTTAGTGCTAGTCCGTCTGCGACCACTTCCTTATTTTGCTATTAGATCCTCTTTTGCTTCTAAGTACAGTTCTTCGTTCCGTTCTGAATATATATATATATATATATATATATATATATATATATATTTATGGTACGTTTGAGTTCTAATTACAATAAGATCAAAAAAATGAAGACAAATAATACTGGAAAGATCATTTAAATTTAAAAAATTTTAGACAAATAGAAACCTCGACAATGAATAAAGATATATAGGACAATCCATACTCTTTTTTCTACTAACCGTCAATCATATCGGCAGTGAACTTAGGTCTCCATTTTATTAATAAAATTCACACCCTTCTTGACTTAATACGATCTGCAAAGCAGGCGACAAAAGACCAAGTGAAAACTTTATTTATTATTATTATTACCTATCTTTTATCTCCTTCATTTGTTTGGAAAGTATTTTCATTGTAATTTTACTTCCTTACAGACTGCCATCCAGCTGAGAGATTTGGACATGTTTCTACTTTTCTGAGTCTTTCATCTCCTCTATTAGTTTGTAAAGTAGTGCATCGTGACTTTATTCCATCAGAATGTATATTCCGAAATTTTGTCAGCTCTTTCAACACCCTATAGCATATCAGGTTTGTAAAAAGTCGAATACTGTAGACAAGTCTCAGCAGGAATACTGCAGGTAGCCATGAAAGAGTCAAATATTATGCAGAAAACCAACAGCACACTGGATCAAATATTATGCAGAAAACCAACAAGATACTGGGGATTTTAACATATGTTACAGATTACACAAACCTGCTGTAATTATCTTCATTTCTTGATGAGAAACTTCAGATCACAATTGAACATTAGAGGCCTCTGATCTTTGACAGAGGAATAAAAGCAGCCTCTAATTCAAGACGTAGAAATTTACATCAGATATGGTATACATTGCTTCCCTATAATCTTGTAACTGAATCACGCCAACCAAATATGCCTTAAAAAACCAACAGGCTGTTGGCATCAACTTTTGCGTCCGAAGTACTTACTGCTACAACTTCACAGTCTTAAGGAAATGATGCAACATAATGTCACAGCTCAGAGTTCCATGGACATCAGCAGCCTCTGATCTTTCGAGAGAGGAGACGAAGCAGCCTCAACAATCTGCAGACTTAAATTAGTAAGCTAAATGTACTTCTAAATTTTCACAGCTAACAAAAGCAACTGAGTGATAATGTGATTTTGCAAATGGTGTAGCCAAAGAAACTGAGTAGATGACATCTAGACAGACATTTTTTAATATCGGCATAATTTAGATGGCTCAAATCAGGTTTTCCTCCTCCCCCCCACTTCTTGTTGTCCAAATTCAGGATTTACTGAGCTCCTTCTGACAAGAGAATTATTTCGGATAGACAACCCAATGAAATCATTCTAATTGTGATGGATCCAGGTTCACATTTAGTGCCTCTAAGCCATTATGAACTGGATAAATGTCAAAAATGCAGAAAGTGTGGAATACTCAAGCTGCATGCAGCTGGTGAATAGCATCATTCACATGAAGATGTAGTTGGTGAAGGTTCCAATGTCCTCTCTTTAATAATTGAGCTTTTCACAATACAAATAGACGCATCTTGAACTCACATCTTAAGAAAAATCTTCCTAGAGCAACAGAAGCAAAGAATAGAACGGCATATAATCATGTGGATGTTGACTACTACTGCAGGCCAGGATAAGATAAAAAACACTAAAAATGCAGAAAGAACTGACAAATGTATAAGAATTGAGGTGATTATTGCCCAAAGAACTAGTGATCAAGCTCAATTCTCCAAACCACCAGGAGCATGTTTCAAGAAGAATGACTACAGCTGCTTCCATGTTGACTAATTTGCATTCAGGATATTAAAACACCATAATGGATCAAGTGCTGCACCTTAAAGCCAGTTTTTCTGTAAAGCTCTTGAGCTGGCATGTTGTCAGCATTCACATGAAACAAACAATTGCTTCGTACACTGCTTGCATACAAATCAACCAATAAAGAACAACACAAGTGACAGTTACCCAGGCAAATGACACATTACAGACACACAAAGAATAGGGAGGAATGATAGTTGCAGGCACAAATGTATGTAGCCTGTTGAGAAGTGGCACCTGCTAAGGTGGCAACTTCAGTAGCCAAATGCAGCATGTTTGTAGCAATACCCTGACGTCGGGCAAACTTTGCAACACAAACATTTGCAATGTATGCATACTTGTGTGCATCAAAGGGGTCATGGCTCACCAAGACTGGTGACACTCTTTTTACCTCCTGAGAACAGCCGATAAAAAATTAAACATTGAGCTCAATATTATAGAGGAAAAATAAGCTTCCAAATACCCTTTGTAGACTAGCCCCTTCTAGTTTCCATTTTCTTTTTTCTTCATTAACACCAAGTAAAATGAAATAAATGGAAACAATTGGGAAGAAATATGTCTTTTAAAGACCACAATGAGCAAGTGTTCCAATCCAATGAAATTTGAAAAGTAGCTCATGCACAAGGCACCTTTTAATTAATTTCCCACAATATACTGTGGGAGCTGCCTTAGAGGAGGTATTTTTTATACCTACATCAAATTTCACTATTTCACCTGTATGTCTACAAGAGGATCCAGAAAATGTTTTAAGTGTGTACCCCAGGATATGCTTCTCCTTGCACAAACTGGCGAATACTCAGGTCCAAAGTGCCCACAACACTGTTCAGAACAGTTCTTCTAACATTCTTCTCTTCCTTCTTGACCTGAAATATCAAAAATACATTACCGAGGAACAGTAACCAGGCAAGAAATATTAAATTTGTTCCTCATTTTATGGACTACAAATGTTTTGAAGATATAAAAAAAGCAAATAAACGAACAATTCAGAACACAAATGCCTTTAAGTGGGACAAAATTTAATGATAGATTTCTTAAATCACAAGAAGATGAATCTCCAACAAAAACCAAGCCCCATAAAGGCATGAGAAAAGGGAAACTGACCCCAACCAGTTTAGAAGACCTGCTGATATATCTTGATCTTGAAATAATGCTGTCCCCTAACCACAAATAAAAGCCCACTAATGCAAGCAATGAAACACCACATTTTTATTTCTTTCCCCATATTTTCCCTTGTTTAATTTCCTAAAGATAAAAGGAGTCTGCTGAATAAACATAACAAGTTTAGACTATTATTATGATGCCTGAAATTGTTGATGTTGTAGGATATTTTAAAGAAAATAGCTGGAGCTTCACGTTAAGAAATTCAAGTTTCCCAGCCCCTCCAGGTGAGATAGGTAATGTTTGACTTATTTATTATTTACCCAATACACAGATTATTTGTTTGTTTTTCTCTAACCAATAGGTTTCAACGAACTCCTCAGACTTCTGTAGGTATTCAATAACAGAAAAAAAATTCCACCCCACAAAAGCAGTGGATACGTCACTAAGAACAAGCATCTTAAAAGTCATGGACCATAAATTAAGCCAATGAGAAAAAAGTCCAGTGAGGGCAAATTCTTCAGTTACATTGAAGTACTTACAAATCCTACATACGTTTCCAAAAATGCTTCCAAAATCACTTTTGTACAACTGCAACTTTAATAACAGCTAAATATTTGTGGCTGAAAGAGATCCTATCACTACACATTTTTATCCCCTCCCTCTTTGCCTGTGTCATCCTTAAAAAACATGCCTGTGAACTTATTATATTACCCAACCAATCAACCTCATTCAATGAAAATTGCAAATGATTACTGGAATATCCTCAAAGCAGAAAAGGACCTTTTTACAATATCCTACTTTATTACCAAAGTTTTATTGTTGTCAGGTGATATTATTGGATTTTCCTCCTTTTAATTTTCTTAAATATAACCCAAGAATTCAGACAACCCATACACTAAATATAGCAAAGTTCATAAAAAGTCAATGAAATTCTAGTTCACTCTTTAGCACACTAAACTCTTTAATTTTATAGTTTCAAGTTCTTTCTAGCTAAGTGCTATTGCTCTATTACTGACAAACATCAATCATTTAATATTGGCTTAAACAAAACAGGTATGAACATTACTCAAAAAGCTCATTTGGATGGAAACGAAAGATAAGAAAATGAAATATTTATGTTTGACAGTTTCATGACGAAAGAAAAGAAAGAAAGGGAGCATTTGGGAACTAAAGAAGCCACAAGGCTTTGTCTTACAGCCACTAAAACCCTTTGGCAACATGTTCACCCAAAAAAACTTAACAAAAAGATAACAATGACCAAAAATTCCTAAATCAGCAGAGGAGAGAAGCAAATCTTGCTGAACTTTCTCTTCTTTCTTTTCTCTCAGAAACTCCCAAAAGGCCTAAAGGGAAATATAATAAATTTAACTGTTTCAATATCAACTGCAAAATTTAGCCATCCATATTCCTCATTGGAGCAGTAAATCACTACTATATCATGAACTTGCAGATCCAAAAACGTCCAGCAAACACTAATGCCAGGGGCATCTACAACAAATCTTGAGAATAGCAATATCCATTTTATTTACACGTTCAAGAAATAGGTTTCCAAAAGGGACTCAAACTACAGGGCAATGTCCTCCTGCTGCTGACAATATTGCAGCACTTGCAATAGAAAATTTTTTTTCTTTTGTTAGACATGGCAATAACACATGCAACAAAGATATTAATGCTCTGCATCCTTCCCTGCCATGCTACCACAATCACCATTAACTTTCCCACAGAAAAGCTACTATCCATGGCAGACATGGACTGCTCTATCTCTCTTCCTCTCTCTCTGTAACCCACACAAACAAATATACTTAATCATCATGCCTCCACTAAACCCAGACTGCCAAAGAATAAATACCTGGAATAAGGAAAGAAAACCACACAAATGGGGGACAAAGACCAAAAAAAGAAGAGATGATTGTTAGCCCAAGAAAATAGCACGTTTCAGTTGTCCAATGGTGGTCAGTCTCCACATGCCGTTGAAACACATTTTTAGTTGTTTTTCAATCTTTTTAGAAGAGTTACTTGACAAAGTTGTAATTGGAAAACACTGTTGAAACTTCTATGATTAAAGTGTTGGTAAGATGAAAATCAAAATCAGATGGTTAAAACTCAAAATTCTGGATACTAGAATATTTTTTCAACAGTTACCCTAACGAGATTTACATGTGTGCATGGAGGTAGGCTTTTGGAAACATGAATGGCAAGGAACACAACCTACACTAGGCATCCATAAAAGGAAAAAAAAAAAAGAATCAACAATGTGAAACTTCTTTTGTTATCAAAAGCAACAATGAATACAAATAATAGACACTCTCATAAAGATAGGTTTTTGGAATCAGAGTACTTCATAAGAACTTAAGTGCACTTACAGCAACAAAACAAGTGCACTTCAATGAATTTCCTTCCTGCCCAAAACATCTCCGCTTGAGAGCATAGAACTCCTGCATGTAAGAAAGACATCAATGAAAGAGTCAATAACCAACTTCATCATCAGGATGCGGTGAGTTATAGAAACTGTCGTGACTATCATTAGCTGTCCAATCACAACGACCAATAACTTGCATGACTTTGATAACCAATAACTTGATTTTTTAGAACCAAAGAATACTGTGCAAACACATCACCATCTTTCCATGATCTTGGTATTCAATGCAACTTTTAGATGTGTCTTAATAATAGCAAAAGAGTGTTACTAGAGGCACCAACAGGTATGCTTCTATCAGCCTAACATAAAGAGAAAATGTGAAACCCATGGACACATGGAAATTGAGAGTATCTCCTCCACAGTTGAAGGGAAAGATCCTATCCTTGAACTTTTACTTAAGAAAATCCCATCCGTGCTGCTTCTGTTTGTTTCAGAAAGAGAATTCCTGTGACACTTAACATGCCTCAACAACAGAGTTGTACACTAGTTCTGACCAAGCTCCTGTCCCAACAGAATCTTATACAAAAATAAGTTCCTAAAATCAGCTTACCCCTTTTCTTACATATTGAATATAGAAGAATGCAGCTATACCTGGACCTCAATACTACAATAAGACATGGCTAGTGAACTGTAACTAATGATTAGAGTTGGCACATTGAGTCATGAATTGGCATTAGTTACAGGTGTCATTGGACACATCTAGTTTCTAGGTTTACAAAAGCTAAGGCATATGACTGCAAGTTCTGAAGCATGTTAGTGTTGAATGCAGAATAACATGAGAAACTCGACTAAAAAAGTCCTGTTTAAAAAATATTATCAGAATGCCTACCTTAGTGCCCTTTTACAGGCACAGGCAACTCAATTCGCTACAAGTCGACTGAGAGCGCTAAGAGGGTGAGGGAGAAGAAGGTATGGAATGGAGAGAGAGAGATCTAGCATTTTCTTGAAATTAGGTATCCAATACTAAGCCTAGCAGTTGAAATTTCTGAATAATAATGTAACAAGATTCAAATTAACTAAGCCATACAATAATTCTGTGCTATATACCTGTTCAGCATATTTTCTCTTATAAGTATCTACATGCCTGGAAAATCAAAATTCCAAAAATCACATTAATGAGGACCAAAAGAGTTCTCAAATCTGCAAATAAAACAACTTCAGAAACTAAAATAGGATAAATGTCGAGGGGCTGGGGGAGGTGCAAATAAGAAATTAAACCAGCCAGGATACGGGACACAGAGCAAGCAGAACAAACCGCATATAAGAGACTGACTCCCAATGTGCTTCTGCTCGTAACCATGCTGCTGTCTGCCATTCGAATTGAGACATGGAGGCAAAAATTCTGAAGTTTTAGAAAAGTAAATTCAAGAAGAGAAATACTGTCGAACAGAGAACACATAGAAGAGCAAAACCAACCAATATTCTTCATCCAGAATCGTCTCACGAGCAATGAACCGACCAAACTTCCGGATGTGTGATCCACAGTATTCCTCATCAGTAAGTTGAAGCCGGTTAAAAGATAGCTCAGGCATCTTTGAGCTCTCAATCTTATGAAAGGAAGAGTGTCGGATCCGCTGATCATCATTACAATGGACTTCGAGATGCTTTAATCTAAAGTGTGAAGCAGGAAATGTATCCCTAGAAGAATTAAGACGCCAAAGAGGAAAACTATCAGATTAAATCTGTGTGCTTGTCTATTGCATGTGTGTCTTTGGTACTTGGTTATGTACTGGATAGTGGATTAGTTATTTACTAATCTCCATGTGGTATGAATACAAGTTATTTAAGGTGTCCCATTCCTTGAGAATATCTGCTAGCAGAGCAGCTTGGTTATGCTGTTCAGTTAATTGGGATATCAAATTCAAGCTGGAATTTGTACCTCAGTAGGAACTATATATCATGATATCGTCTTTGACGATGTATCACATCTAACATCTGCTTTATTCATTTAACTGTTTCGAAGCCTAGTGTTATCTTTGGTGTCAAGATATAACAATATAGTAATGTCAGTATTGTGCATCATAAGTCGTCCCAAGTTTTCATAGAGCAACTGAGCAGCTAATTTTAAAAATACAACAGTTAACTGAGAGACAAAGTGAAAGGCGATGACGAAAAATGGTACTCTGTCATTTGACTTGTCATATATTGCATCATCTTCTACAATACCATTTATCACTTCTTTTTTCGTTATTTTTTATTAAACCAATAGCTACTCTAATCTGTCATCCTTACATTCAAAGGTCATCATAAACAATGAAATTGCTAAGATACAAATAGGAAAGCAGCAGAATGGGAGTTCAGAGGGCGGAGGTGCTTCCCTTTTATGCTATATATCCTTCAAAGTATTCAAAACTTTAACCACCAAAAGAGTCAGAACCACAGATTTTACAGGATTATCAATTCTAATTATAAAAAAGAACCATTATAGCACTTGTGAAACAGCAATTGTCAAGAAGAAAGATGAAATTCTAATCTGACCATGAAACAATAAGTAAACATCACCACAGAAATTATCAACCATAATAATATCACCATAGTTTATCGCCAATTCTCCCCCTTTGCACATATGAGCATAGTAATTTCTAGAAAATAAATTTATTTCGTACAGTCTCAGCCTCCACTATTATAGGCTTAACTGCAAACACCTAAAAAAATGGTGAAGAACGAAATCACAATCAAGTCTGTAGCTCATCTCTCCCTTCTGACAGTCATAAATATGCTTAATTGACCATCAAAACACCATATCCCTATCACTTATTTCTACTTGAACTCAAGTATGCCCGAACTTGAGCTGAGTTCCAGATCAAGCACTAGTTAGATATGCCAATCAGGCCAAAACTCTGACTCAACTTGGCTCATTTGCAGCAAAGCAGATATCTGGATATATAGTGTGTTTGGATTGTAAATTATTTGAGATATTTTTACTGTAGGTTTTTTTTTTATATATTGATGTGAGATAATAAAGTGATTGGAAAATGTGTTGATGATGCAATCAAATCAGTACGTGTAATAAGGTGTAAATAAAGTGAAATAATCTTCAGTCCAAAATTATCCACGAAAGAAAATCTATCCATATAAATTTTGCTCTAACTAAATAAGCAATAACAGCATTTAATTTGCCACATCATAAATTTGGATTTTCATTACATTATTACTTATCCATCATCATCATCATCATCAAGAAGTTCCGATAAAGAATTATACCTACAAACGTGACTAACAATTAAACACAGCAACTGCAAAAAAGAAAGTTACTTTTACTTCAGCATATTCTGGTCGGCAGAAATTAAAAAAATTAACTAAAAAAAGGAGATTTCAAGAAACAAGAAAAAATAAATAAATTTAGAGGAATTAAGGAAAAATGATTAACTTTTTTCTTTTTACCTATTATATTGAAAACGCAAGGACGATCAGAGGTTCTTCGTGCTTTCGTATCTCTTACCTCGAGAGAAGCCAAGTGAATTGCGGTGGTGTTGCGACTTTGAATTCGGCATGAATTTGCTTCTCTCCATCTTCTTCTTCGTCTTTTTCTTCTCTTTTCTAAAATTTTCTGTTTTCAACTATCACATAGCAGAAAATATATTTTTAGAATAATTCTGGAAGTATTCGGAAGGAGAAGAAGAAGAAGAAAAAGAAAAAGAAAGAAGATTTATGAGTAGCGATTTTGGAAATGGATAAAATGGAGGAAGGATAAAGCGCGTTCTAACGTCTGATCAGAAGCTAATTTTTTTATAGAAAGCGGTTGGCTTTGTTTCTTTGTATCTTTCGCCAAAACAAGAAAGCGGTTGATCTGGAACCGCTATCTGCCACGTTTTCTTGAGGGAAAAAGCAGTAGTATAATCTATAATGGCAATGATTTAGGGGAAAAATAGGATAAATCACCCCCAAAGTATCTATTTGTCTACTTTGACCCCCTAAACTTTTGGTTGCAACACTTACCTCCTTTAGTTTCTCAATTAAGTCCAATGTACTCCAATTCATTGGCTTTAGAAGAGTAGAAGGGGCATAAGACCTACATCATCTATTGTTATTCATCAATTGAATTTCAAAAGTATACTGGTCGAATAAATTGAATGATGAGGGGAAAAGGATTAGAAAGTGTATGAGGAGAATTTTTAAAATTGAAGTATCTAAGGGTCATTGCCAAGTCAAGGTAAGGGACTAAAGTTCAAATTTGGTCTATTGAAAGAAAATTTTATATGGTTTTATAAAAAAAAAATTGGTAAACTTAGTAATATCAAGACTTTCAGATATAGAACGGACATGTTTAATTAGATTATGCATGTTTAATATAAACATTGTAGCATTTAGCTGGTTTAACATTTGCTAATTTTGTAAACAAAATTCTAGTTGCGTGTTTTCCAAAAACTTCTAACAAATAATTTTCATAAAACATATACCTTTTATGAAAAATAAAAGAAAGATTCTCATGGTCTTGTTCCGATCTTCCTAGAGATGGATGCCTTTTAGCATTTTAAACTTCTAGAAATCTTCCAATAGATACCGTCGCCTGAATTGGCAAATATATCTATGTTAGGTTATGAGGAATGAAGATAGGCAATCCTATATTGTCTGTTAGCTACAATCCGCTTCCTCGTTTTTCTTGGAAGGGTGATTAATATTATCAACAACAAGTATGTTAACAAATCACAAATTGTATTTCCACCCCAATGATACTACATTTTTATGAAATGCCTAGTAACACTACTAAATAGTTCTAGTGGTCTTAGTGCAATTTTTTTTTTTTTTTGGAGAAGATCTTAGTGCAATTTCCAAAGCACGCATATTAGTCTGATTTGTAGATGCACTAAGGATTTACAGGTCACATATTAATGGTATGAGGGTATTTTGTTCTATAAATATGTAATATTACCTCATCCTATAAATATATATATTTTGGTTGTAAATTACGTCAAGCATACGTTCAATCTAATATAAAGTAAATTAAACACTAGATAACAAGATTACTCATCCGAAAATGACTCAATCCATGATGATGAATAAGCTGAGAATCAATAACTTCTCATCCAGTCTGCGAACCAAACACTATCTAAGAAATTGTTCTCTTCCCAATTCCCATGCACATAGAATTAGTTTATTTTTATTGAGATCAATTGAATAAATAGAAAATAAAAAAAAGAATATACCACAATAAGAATCTAATACAGACTAATGCTCCAAAGTTTCACTAAGAAAAAGCCTATAAAGGGAAAACTTGTGTAAATGTTCCATGGTAACATGGGGTCTGTATGGATTACCTGCTTTTTTCCTAGACACCAATTACCATCATTCTCCCAAGTACCCGACGCCACCTTGTTCAGTCCAATGACCCACTAAAAGAATAATTTGTTTCATTTCTTGTACCAGTCCCTATTTCAACATTTACAAAAATCGCTATATATCCTTCATGAACATCTCATCTCAGTTTTTTGTTTTTTTATCCTTTAAGTTCTAACACTACCAAATGGGTAGAAATAGGGATGGCAACGGGGCGGGGATCCCTCCCCCGTCACCCGCGGGGTTAATAAAATTTTATTATAATTAAATTTTAATAAATAATCAAGTACTAAAATATGAACACATCACCAAATTATTATTCATTGTAATTTTACAATTGAAACTCATAAAAACAATCAAACAGAAGTTATTTGAATACAATCCAATATGATGAAATAAATATAACTAAAATAGTCAAGTTTTTACTTTTAGTACAAATGCAATCACTAATTCATTATTGTATTTGTGCTTTTTTTTTTTGAGAAAAAAGTGTTATTCTATTAAGTGTAATTAGAAATTTAGTATAAGTATTAGTAAATTTAGTATAACTAATTAATAAATTTTATTAGTAGACATGTATAATTATTCATATAATTGATAATATCAATTATATTACATAAAGCTACTATACATTAGATAATACATCTAACTAATAATATTATTATCATAAGCTTATAACTAATTAACTTACATATTATATATAATTATATATATATATTTTTTTTTTGCGGGTGGTGGGCGGGGGTATACTCCCCCGTCCCCCGCCCCATTTCTAAGCGGGGGAAAAAATTCCCCCCCGCCCCCGCTCCCGCCCACCCCCCGCCCCGAGAGCCCCCCGCGGGCACCCACCCCCATTGCCATCCCTAGGTAGAAAACACAAGCTAACATACTAAAAATACAAAAGTTAACTAAAAATGGGTTTTTAATGATTATTTTGCTTTTTTTTTTTTTGGTAATAGTTTGTTGTATTTTGTAGTCTACCCTGTAAGTAATTGTTGGAACTTAAAGAGATTTTAAAAAATTGAAATGAGATGTTTATGAATCATATATGGTAATCTAATAGATGTCGAGACAAGAATAATACAGAAAATGAGACAAAAGATTCTTTACGCATTTCCCTCTCTCCCGGCCACATCTTTTTTTTTTCCCTCAACATTCGGCCACCTCTTTCTCCCCCTTCTCTTCTCCATGCAACCTTCCTCACTATTTTCCTTTGCCATCCTATCCCTCTCGTCAGCTCATACGACAGTTTGAGAGGGAGGACAAGGATGCGAGACAAGGGAAAAACTAGAGGAGAGAAGCAAGCGAGGGAGTGAGGAGGAAAAAAGTGGCGAGAAAAGGGAGGGGTGGTGGGAAGA